CTTCCTGCTATCAGGGAGATGCTGGGGTTGCGGCTGTGGTGGGGACTCTGAGTAGTTCCTTCCCCTGGACCTGTTCCTTCCTTAACTTTCTTGGGAAGGAAAAGCAGTACTTCCTTCCTCTCTGCCCAGATCTCAGCCTGCCAGGTCTGAACTGGAAAAGAATTGCCCCATGACTTTCTTCAATGATCCCCCCTTTCCTCCCAGGATAGCTGCTTTCACAGGCCCAACAGCGGCTTATGAATGGTTTTTCATTCAGTTGAATTGACACAGCTGGGGCAAAAAAAGTATGCTTCATACTCGTCTGTTCATGGGGGAAGCAAGCCCGCTTCACTTCGGCTTAAATCAAGACAGCGTTAGGCGAGAATAAGAATCGGTGCTCTGCTAATTCCTTCCTCATTTTAATCATCTCAGAATGTGAACTAGGGTCAAGGAGAGGAACCAGGTAATAAATAGGGCGAGGCCGGCATGCCGGCTACTAAGGTGAGCAGTAACTTTACTGGAACTTTTTTCTTTCTGGGAAAATCTCTTCAAAAGGCTCCTAGATTAAAGCTCCAATCTCCCTTTTTGTGTGTTGAATTCTGAATTCAGAAGCTTGCTGGTTGGAAGGAAGCACAGACAATTTTTTTTTTAAGTCCCAGGAACTCAGAGACTCAAAGGTTTGAAAGTCCTGCACCCACGGTGAATTGCCGGCTGAAAGGGGCCGGAGCAGAGCCGGGCCCCGAGGTGTGGAGACCATTGTCATCAAGAGGAAGAGGATGAAATGGCTCTGTATGTAGGTCAATGACCCCCTCTCTACTGAAAGGTAAGAAAAATTAAGGATGACCTACAATCTACCATGTAGAAAGGAGCTCTTTCTTGTCAAGGTGATAATGTTTATGCTACGTGAAGCCAGACCTCCCCGGACTCTGACTTTGGGGGGACTCTCGAAGCTGAAAAGCGCTGGTCAAAACCTCAAGCCCTTTCTGACATCTATTAACTTTTTATTCTTCAAAGTAGTTGGCTGTATCGTTGGAGGCGTGGCCCATGGAATCGGGCAGCATTTTCATTCTAATCAGTGAGATGGAAGGATTCTGCCTGAACTTCTGGTGTGTTCGTCACTTACCTTAATCTTTCCCCCAATAACCAGGATTTAAATGAGCCAAGGCTGTCAAAGTAAATGGATAGATTCACAGAGAGGGACCACAGACACAGAAGAGAAAATGAGAAGGAAAAGAAGAAAGAGGGGGAGGAGGAGGAAGACAAAAGAAAAGCGATTTCCCAGAGCCCCGTTTCAATACAAAGACACTTCAAAAGTCCTTATTAAACAATGTCCCGGACCTGTGTGATTTTTGAAAATCCAACCGAAGCTAGGAAATTAGCCTCTTGCATCGTATATGAGCCGAGTAGCTGTCATGGTCTATGTAAACCTCAGCCCTTACGATGCCCAAATGTACTGACCTGCATTAGGGACATTGTCAGGATTCACGCTACGTATGCTTGGAATCTGTGTTGCATTTTCATTTCTTAATAAAAAGCCATATTTTCCCAATACGATCTAAGTGGGAGGTTGGCGTTCCAGGCGTGAAGCCAACTTGATTTTTAAAACTCTCTTTATTTTTAAATTATTTTAGATTTACAGAAGAGTTGCAAAGCTAATACGAACAGTTCCCAAATACCCTTCACCCAGCTTCCCCTAAAGTGAACCTCTTATAATATGGTACATTTGTCAAAATTAAGAACTTAACATTGGTTCAGTTCCAGGAACTGAACTGACGTCAAGATTCCTTACAGCGCCAGTTGTCAGTACCATGTGGTACTGTGTCACAACAGACAAATACGTCGGTGAAACAGAACAGACCGAGGGAGGAATGGCGCTGCCATGGAGCCCTGGTGAGCTGGCATGTATCCACGCGGGCCATGCAAACAGAGGCTTGAACCACTGCTGATGTGTGTCCTGGCAGAAAACCCATGATCCTCCTGGGTGGGAGGCTGGCAAGGAGCTGCTCAGGGGCCGAAGGCCACTCGCCTCCCTGTGTCTCCTGGGAGGCGTTCAGGAGACAGTTTCTCATCGCCTCCTGGGTTCTCATGAGGTTTGAGACTTCCTGCCTTGCCCCGCTCAGAATACAGCTGCGGACTATAAAACCGCTCAGCTGAAGCCTAGATTTGGCTGCTTAGCAACGGGGTCACTACGACTCATATTGTCACCAACTGGTCCCTTTTGTCTAGGTGTGGTCCTCTGTGGTGTGTGGGGCAGGGACCGTGAGGAATTGGCACCTTTGGCTGTTCTCCTCTTCACTGTTTATGGAGGAGATAAATGGTCTGAATCAAACTCGGGACTTTATCTGTTGAACCGGTCAGACCTTGCCCTGTCTTGTGTGTACTGACAAGAGTCCAGAAATAAACCCACACATACGTAGTCAGTTGATTTCCAACAAAGGTGCAAAGTCAATTTAGTGGAGAAAGGAAAGGCTTTTTGACAAATGGTGCAGGAACAATTGGATATCCACATGCAGAAAAAGAAAAGAAAAGCTTCAATCCATCAATCTATACCTCACACCATATTCAGAAATTAACTCAAATTGGCTCATAGACTTAAATGTAAAATATAAACTTATTAAATTTACTGAGGAAAATGTAGGACATCTTTGTGGCCATGCATTAGGCAAAGGTTTTCCTAGATAAGATAGCCCTACACAAATCCTAAAAGAAAAAAATTGATAAGCTGGATCCCACCAACATTAAAATTTCTGTTCTTTAAAAGACACTTTTAAGAGAAGAAAATAGAATCCAGAGATGGACAGGCCATATTTATAAATTGCATGCCTGACAGGGGACTTGCATCCAGGGAATGTAAAGAAATCTCAACGTTTAAGAATAAACAACCCATTTTTTAAAATGGGTACAAGAGCCCTGGCCAGTGTTCTCAGTGGTTAGAACACCAGCCCGAGCATGGAAGGGTCATGGGTTTGACTCCTGGTCAAGGGCACATACCTGGGTTGCAGGTTTGATCCCAACCCCAGTAGGGGCACCTGCAGGAGGCAATCAATTGATATGTGTGTCTCACATCAGTGCCTCTCTCTCTAAAAATCAATGGAAAAAATATCCTTGGGTAAGAGTAAAAGTAAATAAATAAATAAATAAATAAAACGGGCACAATATTTGAAAAGGCACGTGGTCACCAAAGAGGACATATGGGCGGCCAATAAGCACATGCAAAGGTGCTCAGCATCAGTCGTCGTTAGGGGAATGCCAGGCACAACCACACACGGATGGAGTGCCTACAATGAAAGAGCGACCCTACCAAGGACTGCGAGGGTGTGAAGCAACTAGACCGCACACATGGCTGGTGGGCCTGCACAATGGCACGGCCGCTTTGGAAACCAGTTTGGCAGGTTTATAAAAGGTTATCGTTCAATCACATCATATGACCCCGGCGTTCTAAGCCTAGGTACTTCCCCAGGAAAAATGAAAGCATATGCCCATACAAAGCCTGGCACACAGATGGTCATAGCAGCTTTATTCGTAACAGCCTGAAGCTGGAAACAATTCAGTGCCTTTCAACACACGAATGGAGAAACACACCATGGAATACCACTCAGCAACGACGACGAGTGAGTTATGGACACACACAACAATATGATGAATCTCAAAGTAACTATGATGAGTGAACGAAGCCAGACAAAAAAGAGTACATTCCACTTATATAGAATTCCAGCAAATTCAGACTGAACTACGGTGACAAAAAGCAGATCAGTGGGATAATGGAGGAGGGGGGTGGGGACATAATAATGGGGCCAGGGAACCTTTTGACCGGGATGGGTGTGGTCAGTCTTGATAATAGGGATGGTTTCATGAACACACAGACGTCTGTCTAAATTTATCAGATTGTACACTTCAAACACAGGCAGCTTATTGTATGCAGTTACACCTCCGTAAAGCAGGTCCTAAAAAGTACATTGGAAGAACGCTGCTTCCTTCCGTCACTCTCCAGGCCACTGGTGGCCTGCTGCCTTGCTGAGTCCCCGCTCTGAACTCAGGTGACATGAGCAGGTGGGGCCCCGCCTTGGTGACCCAGAGCCCAGTAGTAGTGCCTGCTGCACTTCATATGGTGATTTTACTTGATCCTCACCACAGAGACAGAGGCCAAGAAATGACAACCCCCAGGGCAGGGGCTGGAACATTGTGACTAAAAGAAATGTCAAGATGACGCACTGCAAGCCGAGAAACCGAACATGAATCCTGTGCAATGACATGGTGGCTCACAGCTTCTCCCGGGCCTACCGGACCCCGTGGGCACAGACTCTGCAAGGACAAACGCGGGCTTGGACACGGCAGCTGTAGAACCTCCCGAACCCCAACACCTGGGCGGGCAGTGGGCTGGGACCGCTGCTCCCCGAAAAATGCCAGGCCCAGCTCGGCTTCCTAGAGGAACTGCGGAGCCCCGCCCGAGGAGCTAGCCATTTATGTCACACTGTGACAATTATTCTGCATAAAATTATCATTAAAAACTCTAATTTTTCAGCTCCCAACCCCGCCAGTGGCCTTTTAGCATTCTTCAGCACTGCGTCTGAGGGCCGTGATCACCCCGCTCATTACTCGGTGTGGCGCCTCCCGCCTCGCGCTCGCAATCAAGGCTAATTACACCCGCGCGCGCGGGGGCAGGGCCGAGCGGGGTCCAGGGGCCGGGAGTGGGGGCGGGGTCGGAGTCCCGAGTCCGGGAGTCCGGGTCCGGGGTGGGGCCTGGGGTGGAGCGGGCGGTGTGGCCGCTGTGGGTTCTGATGGCCAGCGAGGGGCCGCGCAGGCCAAGGCTGGGTTCGGGGCTTGGGTGAGGTCAGGGCGCGGGAGGTGTCAGGGATCCCAGTCCAGGCCCAGGCGGCACCAAGGTCCGGGGGATGGGGCGGGGCCTCTGGGTCCTGGGGGCGGGGCGTGGATGGAGGGGCGTGGCCGGCGACGGGAGCAGTAGCCCCGGCTCGGGTCCTGTGGGTGGTGGGTGGTGGGTGGTGGGTGGCCGCGTCACTTACCCCAGCGAGGCGGCCGAGCGGCAGAGGTGCAGGGGAGCCAGGCCTTCGGCGCTGAGCAGGTCGGGGTCCGCGCGGTGCTGCAGCAGCAGCTGGGCACAGGCCGTGTGGCCCCCCAGGCAGGCCTCGTGCAGGGGCCCACGGCCTCCGGGGCTGGCATTGGGGTCGGCGCCGCGACCCAGCAGGTGGCTCACGCAGGCCGCATGGCCTCGGGCTGCGGCGATGCACAGGGGCGTGGTGAGCTCCCGTGTGTACTCCAGGGTCCAGAGACCTGGAGGAGGGGGGAGGGGGAGGTAAGGTGAGTGGGGAGCACCGGTGGAGGCGGTGCCCATTAGGCTGAAATGGGGTGAAACCATCTCTTGAAATTAGGTACCAGGAGGGCGTGTGTGTGTGTGGGGGGGGGGGGGGGGGGGATATATATACAAAGTTGCAGAGGGCTGGGGCAGAGAAAGCCATGAGATCCAGGCAGGCACACAGATGAGGGAGAGGGGGCGGGGGTGTCCAGAGAGGGTCAGAGAGATACCAAGGGAAAACAGAAGTGTAGGAAGAGGGGCAGCGGAGAGTACACACACAGGGAAACAGAGCAGGGGAACAATGGGGGTGACGGTGCCATTGGAGGAGTGAAAAGATGACCAAACAGGGTGGGCAGCGGGACAATTAAAAAATATATATTTTTTATTGATTTCAGAAGGGAAGGGAGAGGGAGCTAGAAACATCAGTGATGAGAGAAAATCCTCCATCGGCTGCCTCCTGCACGTCCCCTACTGGGGATCGAGCCGGCAGCCTGGGCATGTGCCCCGACCTCCTGGTTCATAGGTTGACATTCAACCACGGAGCCACGCGGGCCAGTCATTGTGGGACAATTTAAGAGAGGAATTCACATTTTCCAGGTTCTGAATGAGGGGTAGCTTAAAGGAGGCAAGTGAGCTGTGGATTTTTCTGGAATCCAGCTCTCTCTCATCCAGCCCCGAATGTACCCTGTATCGTTAAGAGGAGAAGGCAGCAGACAAAACAAACTGACCCACAGCACCCACGTTGCTCAAGAAAAGGACTCGGAAAGTTTAGGCCCCTTGGAAGTGGCGAGTTTCAGAAGCGCACTTTGATGTGGTCGGCCACATTCGGCACAATTCTGGTTTGTTTCTTTGCGCTTTTTAGGGTTTTGTGTGCGCGTGTGTGCGTGTGTATAGATTGCTTTCTCTTGCAGGATGAATGGAGCGGTGCCATACATTTCACTTCTCTGAAAACTTTGGGCTTTCAAAAGGCCCGTGGAAGGTTGTTAGCGGCCAGGAGTGCTCGTGGAAATGGAGGAAGCAGTCCCTGGCGAATACACTTCAAGGGACAGGATTTCACATGGCAGGCATGCCTTCTGATAACGATGGAAGAATCGATACCGTGTCTGTAATGAGCTGCGGAGGAGACCCTTTCACAGGCCACCTCCTTCCTGGGACCCATGCTGCGCAGTTCTGAAAGGCCACTCATAATTACCTTCCTGCAGAGTGCCGGCCGCCCCGCGTCCCCTGGCCCAGCCTGGAGGTTGTTGCATGCTCCGTGGGATGGTGTGGGGGCCTGTGTCCTGGTGGCGGATGATGGTGGCCTGAGGCCCAGGGGACGTGGCTGGCACGGGTTTGGACTGCTTTCCCAGTGAAGACTGTATCTGATTGGGAGCCGGGAGGATGGGTACAGTCCTTGATGACAATGACCTACATTCCTGTAGGGCCAGCCCCCGGTTCTGGACTCCACTCATTTCTCTGCAGGAGGAAACCTACTTACTGAGGGGCCAGGAAGCGGGTGCTCCATTCTCCAGGGCCTGCGGAGTTCTCAGCCCCCCTCCCCCTCCTCCCAGCAGCTCCATTCACCTGCCTCAATGCCCAGGTCTTTCCATGGAATGATGGGAAGGGGCCGTGGTGGGCATTTAGCTCAGCCCTAGATTAGGGCCAGCTCCCTTGTCCAGGCCTTAGGAAATGGTGCTGAGCATCTAGCCTTTAAGAGAACAGGGTTCTGAGATGGTTCTTGGGATCAGAAAGCCTGAATCAGCTTCCTATGACTTCCACCCGGGTCCCGGTTCTGCCAGCAGGAGGACCCCGGAGGCAGGCTTCTCCCCATGGGCACGTCCTTCTAAACATCAGTGCCATCATGCCACGGCCTTCCTTGGACTCGAGCTGGGATGCTGTACCCAGGGGCCAGCCACTGAGGCCCTGCTTGGTGCACCCCCATCCCCTGGCCCTGGCCACCAGGAAGTCCTCACACGAGAGAGGGCAGAGGTGTGGGGCTGCTGGTCCAGCTGTGAGGGAAGACAGGCAGCTGGGCTGGAAGCAAGACTCCAGCGGCCCTGAGCACTGCCCACCCGCTTCTAGCCTGCACCAAGGCTGCGGCAGTACCACTCTCTGGGCTGCCCTTTCCCTGCTGACAGCTCACCCCCCTTCTCTGTCCGCACTCCCTAGTTTCCTGTCAGACAGGTGTGCCATAGGAAAACACAGATCTTAGGGCTGGGAGACTAAGGAGGGAAAAGGAAGGAGGGGCAGATTCAGGCCATGGGTAGCATTGATGTCTAGTTGAAATTGCAACATTTGAGCATGCAAGTGTTCAGGGCGGGAGGTATGTGACAAAAAATAAACATCCATCAAGCATTCAAACAGTTGGCATTCTTGATTGAATTGCCACCCAGCCCTTGGCAGAAATGTGCACCCCATCTGGATCAGGTGAAGGAGAGGAGGCCCAGGCTGCTCTAGGGCCCCCTCAGCAAGGAGGTGGTGCGGCCAGGCAGGAAGGCATCTGCCTCCCACAGCCCCTGCCCCCTACTGGCTGCTCTGAGCAGCTGCAACAGTACAGTGGTTGCTATCCGCCCACTCCCCCCACCCCCTGTGAAGTATAAACAGAAGTGAAGACAGCATTAGTGTTGATGGGAACAGCAGGGAACTTTATGGGAACAAGGGTCCACTCTGTGCCTAACACCCTGCTGGGTGCTGTGGGACACGCAGTGGGGGCAGAGAGCATGCAGACCATGTTTGCAAGGAATGCACAGTTCACCGCATGTAAGAGGCAGGTGGGTACAGAAACGATGAGCAGAAACACTGGGGGCCACTTCCCTAGTCACTGTCCCCTGCGGTGAAGTCTGCTCTCCCATCACTTACACATCCTGCACTTGCTCTGCTTATTTCGGTAGCAATGCTAATTCTTCGCTATTCCATTTCTCTAAGCATCACCATTTTCCCATGGTCTTTCCCTCAGACTGCAATTAGATCCGTTTCTGAAGGACTTGTCCGTACACAGCTATACCTGGTCCAACGTGAGCTTGTACTTCACCTCAGACTGGACAAGTCTTTTGTGCCTGATACCCTTTGTCACGGGTTATTTTGAGAAGGGCTGGGACACTGGGGTGAGTCCAGGGATAGGAGCCATTCCACCTTCGTTCTACGCTAAATTTAGCTTTCCAAGCACGGTATTTGTCAACAGCACCCTACACGTCCAAGCTGGATTTCAGTGGGTAGGGAGTAGTAGTCCCAAAACACGTGGTTCTTCGTGAAAGCTTTTAGACTAGCTCACGGTAGACGGTGCTGGTCTCACAAGTAGGATGTGTGGATTACTCCGGGAGCAAGGCAGAGGTGTCCTTTTTTAAAAATTAAGAACAAGCATAGCTATATGTATGACTATACATTAAAACACAAAACATAAAAAATAAAACAAACTAAAAACCACACAACAACAAAAACACCCTCCACAAATACCTGAAAAGCAATCCATTCATCCATCTATTTGTTCAGAAAACCAATCCATTCATTCACCCATTTGTTCAATAAGCATTTATGGACTATAATGTTCTAAGTTGTGTTGTTAGGATTCTGAGACAAAACCCAAAAAACAAAACACAACACAAAACAATAATCCTGCCTTCAAGGATCACACAGGAAAAAACAGTGACCAGAGGACCCCCAAACACAGGAGTTCTTCAGTCTTCCTTTCCACGAGCCGGGCCAGGTTCTTTAGTTATGGGTGGGTAACACTGTCCCCTGACCCAGTGCTGTTGGCTGCGCTCCTTGCCTGCTGCACACCAGGCCTGCCCGTCCTACCTTGCTGGGATCAAGCCATTTTAATCTCACTTTTCTCATCCTCATCCTTCTACGCTTAGTCAAAGCCAGTGCCTAGCCTTCAAGATACAACTTAAATGCCATCTTCTCTGCCTACTTCAGTCCAAATAAACTCAACTTCTTCCAAGAACAAATCTGTGTATGAAGTTGCTGAGCAAGTGTTGAAATCTTTGATAAAACAGAAGAAAGAGCAGAAGACCAGAGTTTTATGTTTCAAATGGGAAGAGAACTTGGATTCTCCAATTTTAAATTGACACCAGTCCTGGGCAAGGTCCCTAAATGGAGTAGGAAAGAGATGGATTGGGGGTATTTAGAAATGGGAGTGGGGCACTCGGCACTCTGGGGGCCACTAGGAACAAGTCAGGGTGGACACAAAGAGTTTTCTTTTGTGATGAGATCGCTCCCTAGATATGCAGAGGGATGTAGGCATAGTCATGCACATTTCAATCTGCAATGGAAGTTTTCATGAAAACCTTTTAGAGAAGATGGAAAAAATATGGGTCTTTCTTTAGGAAACTCTCACTTAAAACCTCACACTGGAGAAACAATACCCATGGCGCCTGCAGAGTGCTGGTTCACACCTTGGCTGTCAAGTGGAATCACCCGCATCCCAACTTGAGTGAGTCCAGTGTGACAGGTTGGTGTGATGGGTTGGTGTGATGGGGTTGGTGCGGTGGGGTTGGTGTGACAGGTTGGTGTGATGGGTTTGGTGTGATGGGTTGGTGTGATGGGGTTGGTGTGATGGGGTTGGTGTGATGGGTTGGTGTGATGGGTTGGTGTGATGGGGTTGGGTGATGCGGTTGGTGTGATGGGTTGGTGTGATGGGTTGGTGTGATGGGTTGGTGTGACAGGTTGGTGTGATGGGTTGGTGCGATGTGTTGGAGGGAGCAGCCTGAGCAGCAGGACTGGTGTAAAGTCCCCAGGTGCTTCTGGCACACAGCATGGGTGAGGACCGCGGTGCACAGGGACGGGTGGAGTCTGATTTCAGCCTGAGCCTGCACAGCATGCTTGTCGATGATCTGAGTGAATGCATGGAAGGGTGGGCCTCCCACTGGTGGGTGACGTGGAGCATGACACAGTCAGGATCCCTAAAGTGCTCAACAGGCCAGAGCAATGGGCTATTTGCATCAGAGCCCCAAACCAACACTCAAACCCCCAGGCCCTTGGGATCCTGTTGTCCTTGTGA